GGGATGGTCCCCATGGCCCGTGCTGGGTCGGCGCTGCTCGGGACATCTCTTCCCAAAGTGCCGGACATTGCTGCCACAGGCCTCGGGTTGTTTGAGCCTGCATTTTCCTCTCCTCACATGTGAAGGCATCACGATGGCTGTCTGAGTCCTACAGCTAATATGGGTGCACAGGTCCATAATGGTACATTGTAAGTGAATGTCTCAGGGTAGACAGCAATAATAATTAGCTGTCATGATTTGAAAAAAGGATAATCCATGCCATTGAGTTAACAATCACTCACACAACACACATGGATTTAACTAATCTTAATTTGGAGAAAAATAACAATTCTAAATATATCAAATAGCCTATTTCATGGCAACCTGCGGCGGTGTTTATCTCTAGCTTCCAGCACATACGAGTTATTTAGTTTCTCTCACTGGCAGTTTTACCATTCAAAAGCCTGAAATGAACATTCATGGAGCAGGGGTTGCAGTTAAATCCTGCCTCAGACAGGGAGCCTTTTTTCACGATGCACATCTACTTCAAGTATAATGTATGGAGCCCAGCACTGGCAACTGGGACAGGATGAACGAGGAATTCCAATCAACCCCCTCCCCTTTCCTAGCATCACCTTTGCAGAAATTAACTACACTGTTTTATTGAACTTCTGCTTCTGGTGTGGTTCTCTGTCTATGAGGGTACGCTGCCTGGTGCATGCAGAGCAGTCAGTGAAGCTGGAGAAGGTCTGGCCCAAGTGGTGCCTGCCCCACCGTGGCTCCCTCCTATGCCAGTGTTCTCTGAAATCATCCAGCATTAAAAACAAGCTGACTGGTACTTTTTCTTTAATCTGGATCACTTCAGAGAGCCATGCTGAAGTGGTCTGTGAGCCCAGCAGGGCCGTGAGGTGGACAGGAGATACCGTCAGACAAAGGACACCAGGAGCCATGTCCCCATGGCCTTCTTCAGCCAGGACAGGTCACCCAGTTATGCCCAAGATCTGACAAATATGAAAGACAAAAAGAGGTATAAAATACAACAGCAGTCTAATTTTTTCCAAAATACCTGCCAGTGGTGAAGTGAAAGAAGCAGTGACTGATAACTCCTAGCCATCTCATTGGCCTGGCTGTGTTTTGCTGTGCGACAATCTGGTACATCTGTTTGATACTATCGCACTCTCTGTACAAGAGACGGAATTGATTTTCAAACAGGTCAGCCAATTTATAAAAAAAACCCAAAACACAACTTTACGGGACAAACTGCTCCTAATCAAGTCACATCTTCCCAGTGCCCCAGCTAACATGCTACCACACACCTTCCAGACAGTGGTAATAAAGTGAAAGCACCTCGAAAAGTGTGGATTTGCAAGTTACCAGGCAGGATGATAGACTTCATTTTCAGAAGGTATTTAAAAGCTGATTGCAGAGATGAAGTTGCCTTTGTCTCTACTGGTATCTAGAAATGATAGTTGGAGATCTGCATTGTGTGCATGCAAATTCTTGCAGACTCCTGCGCTCTACCTGCCTCCCTTGAAGCAGCACAAGGTCTGTTACATGGTCAAGAGGCGTTCAGTGACCAGAGCAAGTGGAGTTACCAAGAAAGAAAGGCAAAAGGAGGGAAGAAAAAACCTCAGGACTCCAGAGCATCCTGTGCCAGGGTGAAGGCTTGGTCAGAGTGGTGCCGCATCCCAACACCCTCATGCCCAAAGGGAAGAGCAATGGCAGAGCCAAGCTCGGCACCTGACATACCCTCGCTACACTCAGCCATGGCGGCTTAGTCACACTACAGAAGGCCACACAAATTATTTCGACCAAATAAAAAGGTCTACAAAAATAACACAAGATCAAGGAGAGGAGCTGAAACCTATTTGAGGGCAGCAGCGGTGGCAGCATATTTCAGGGAGCCGGAGTGGCGAGTGGGTGATTTCTGGTTTCCCTCTTCAAATATAAAGACTCAATTATCTTTGAACAGCTTGCTTTACACATGAATTGACACATTTATTTTACAATAAATAACTGAAAGTTATCTATGTTTCCTTTACTGTTAATCTACACAAAGAAATAATAAACAGAGCTTGTCTACAAAAATGCAACTACTGCAGTCCTCAGAATTCAATTAAGCTAAAATAATTAATGCTTCCACCATATTAAATTACTTTATACATTTGAGCTACTGAAGTTTTTTTATTCTTTAATCTTTTTCGCCTTTTTATTTAATAAAAAAAAAAAAAGTTAGTTTCAAAGAGGGGGGGCTGGCTAGGAGGGGGAAAAAGAGCATGATTTGCTGCTAAAATGTAATGGTCTCCTTTAGCTGACACAGCATGTAGAGTGTTTTGTGCCTTTGATTAAAATAACATTTTAAATGCTTTGAACAAACATATCTCCCCATACTTCTAAGGGATTATTTTACATATTTCTTGGTGGAATAAAGAAATTCATTCTTCCTGTCGCAGTACAGAAAGGCTAAGAATATCTTTCGTCACATATAAAGTAAAAATACTGTAGGCTGTTGCATTATTACCAAAAAAATAAAAAAATAAAGGGAGGGGGTGGTGGGGTGGGAGAAAGCTGCCTTAGAGATTAAGTTTCCCTTTTATGAAATCGTATTTAGTCTCTTTTTTTAACAAATCTAACAACAATGCTCTACAGCCGCTCACTGGGAAATACCTTTAATGTTAAATGCAGATTCTGATTTTCTTGGCTAATGCAGAAAGCCTTTCTATTGAAATATAAATAAGGGGTTTGGTATATCCCACTAAAGCCTTTCCAGTGAATGACTTCTGTGGGTTTTTCATGGCTACCCTCCATGGCTGTAATGTGAGGCTTTTATCCTACTATTGAAAACTATCCGCTGCTATTAAAAAAAATATGGAAGGACACTGCACCTTTTTATCTCGGAGCTGGGCTCCTAATTGAGAAAGTATTATTACTGCACTATTTAGTGGATGTCCCTATCTCCATGCACTGCTGAGAAAATGCCAATCAAATGATAAACCCTTTTATTTTTCTCAATTCAAAATCTTTCCTACATATTTTCATTTGATACTCAGTTTAGTCTGAAAGAGATTAGGTGCTCCAGATTGGCTTTTAGATTTTTTTTTTATGCCTTTTCCACATGTGAACAATCCCTTCACCCCCTCCCCCAGCAGATTTTCTGCGTGGCAAATGCATTTGTTATACTGATGCTGACCCCAGAAGCTGGGATGGGACGGCACCTTCTGCACTGGGTATAGCCACTGAGGTATTCTACTATGGACGGAACTTGGGCACGGATTAGTAAGAGATGAGATCTGGACTGCAGCTACAGCACAGGTCTCCTGGACCAATCTTACTAAACACTGGGCACCCTCTGCAAGGGTCTGGGCACCATCAGCCTACATAGAGATCAACAGCTACTGAGAGTGCTCAGCGCCATTCAGGAGGCTTTCAGCAGTCCTGAATACTTCTCTTCTGCTCCCACCAAATGGGAAGGAAATCTAGCTCTCAGAGCTGCTACACCATCTCTGCCAAGAAATGCATTCACAACTGCAAAAGGATGGGGAAAGCTGAAAAAGTATGAGGAAAGAATGGGCTCAGGTCTTACTGCCGGGTTGCTTACAACACTACAGCACAGGCTGCCACTGCTAATGCCCCCAAAGCTGTCAGCTGCCCCACACTAAGAGAGTGACTGGACCCAAGTAAGATTCCTAGAAGACAAGGTAGTCAATGAGTGGCATATGCCCTCTCCTAAGAGGCAGATCATCTGGAGATCTGAAGACTGCAGCAGTTCAAAGCCTCATTTACTGGATGGCCATGTCCATCAGAGAGAGGTGCTGGGACCTAACTCTGAGACTTCCAATGCTAAAACCAGGAATCTCATAAGCTTCAATTGTAAAGATATGAGCCTCTCACAAGTCTTCTGGGGATCCCGCTCAGGGGAACATCTCTACTACAGACAGGATCCTGGACCATCAGCTCTAATCCCATGGGATAATTTCTAGAGAAATCAGGATGGTGGCAGCAAAGGCAAATTGCTACTGGTCTTCTGTATGGGACACAGTTAATTTGAACAAAAAAGGCACGTTTGAGGGGGGATCCTGCTGTGTAACATTAAACCCCCACTCACTAGCAGGGAGTAGAGCTTTCCTTTCACCACTGCAGGGGAACACACCGCTGCAGAGGGAGAAACGCCCTGCACAACGGAAGCGGCCCCACAGCAGGCGCTCTGCAGGAACCGCTGCACAGCAGCTCGCCCAGGTGGATGCCATTGCCCGCCTGCCCACCTCTGAGCCAGGGAGGTCAGCTGAGTAAATGTTAACGGCAACACATGTGAGAGCTTTAGAAAAAGATATGCCTGCAATTTGCTCACCCAGGCCAGCCTCGGCTCCCGTCTCCTCATTCAAAAGCCCCATTTGGGGCATGTATGTGAACGGAGGTGTCACCCACCCAACTCCAGCCATCTGCAGACACCCAGGACGGGCGGCACAGGCAGCAATGCAGACCAGGAAGCTGACATCTACACCAGCGGAATGAACAAACAAGGACTTAATGTACCCCTGCTTTAGCCCTCACAGACAAATCCTCTTCCCACTGCAGTCAGTGGAAAGAGGATTTTTCCACTGTCTTCAGTGGGGTCGGGATTTGGTCCTTCCCAGTGGGTCTGCATGTTACCAAGGGTGTCTGAACTGGACTGAAGTGAGCACCTCACTGAAGTCTCCTATCCCTCCACCACTGCTATGTGCTTAAACATACTCCTGAAATGGTTTCTGGCCCCACTTTCTGCTTTTTCCTACACGTACAGGCTGCCCCTTGGCTCTCCAGGGCACTGAGAGGCCCTTCTCTCCAGGAGCTGGCCCTGCACACATAGCTACGCTGAATTAAACATGGGGTGGGCAGCCCTGATGAGCCCTGCCGTAGCCTTGAGAATCCTCCGATGGCTCCGATAAAGACCTGTTACTGAGGCCTCTGTTTCATGGCACTTTCTAGAGGGCTCTTGTTAAAAGATTACCTAGGCAGTTGATTGAGTGTAAAACATGCTGTACCTGCAATGTTCTCCTGCTTGGGGCAAATTCCTTTTGTAGGCGTGAGAAGACGGTCTTCTTCATCGGGTGTGACTTGGATCCCGATTTCCACTGGCTCTGACACTTTCCTGAGCTCGGCGCGTGAGGAGGGGGGAGGGCTGCTCTTATCCATGCTCTTTTCATAGCAGGCACCACCAGTGCCATTGCACTGTTTTCTCTTGTGCTCTATAAAAACCAAGATGTCTCCCAGCGGGAAGTTCATCTGACACTGTCCACAGGTTAACAAGTCGGGGTCTGTCCCGCCTGCGGCGATGCTGATGCCACCCGGCTCTGCTATTGCCAGGCTCTCATCCTCGTCGGCGAGTGCCGGTTCCACATGGTCAGCCTCTGCTTTACATGGACAAGGAGAAAGAGGGAGGAAAGGGACGAGGGGAGAAGAGAAAGAGATTGCTTTGAATGTTCACAGACTCTGAAGGATGCATCACGAGAGGCCCAGGCTCCCCCCACCCTCCCAAAGAAGCCAAGCCTGATTAGATCTTTCTTTTATTTTTCAGCTTTTCCGCTCTCCCAGAATGATTTCAATATATTTTGCAACCAAGCCTGCCTGAAACAAAATGGAAAGGCTGACCTGGCATAGCTTTCCTGACAGCTCCTTCCCACTGCTGCCAGCACTGCAAGGATATCAGCAAAGAGCCATTTTGCAAACGTTCAAGCCTCGAGTCACTTTCTGAAATAGTTCATCTCTTTTTATCCCATCTTCTCATTCCCACCGCATCTCCCAGCCATCTGGCCAAGGCCTTATCCAGCAAAGCTTATGCACCCAAACCTCCCCTCCTATTTTAGAGAGAGGAGGAAAGCTTGCATGCTCCAAACAAGCAGGATCAGGCTCCCTGTGGCATACAAAATTAGTACCACCTTGTCCCATTACAAAGATACCGGCAAGGTTAAATGACCACCCATTATCACGAATTACAGCAAAATGTTTACAAGAGTAAGGTAAGCAGGATACGGTCTCATGAGAAGTTAAGGCGTTTCAGAAGTGTGTACAGTGGGAAAGAGAATGAGGCATCTATTTAACATACTGGAATATTGTCTGAGACTGAAATCTTCCACTCTATTTTCTTGATGTCAAATAACCCTGCAGTTGCTATATAAGATAATAAATTTTTTTTTGTTTAAATCTTGCCCATGGACATGATGGATTTCAAACCATTACTCCCAAAGACTGGGAAGGCATTTCTGAGTGACCGCCATCAGTTTCTAAGAAATAAGTAACTTCTCGTTTCACAATTAATAAAACACAGTGCGTTTTTAATGGTGTTTAGAAGATAATTCTTACATTATAAAATAATTACAGATCACAATCCATTTCTGGGGCAAAACATGTTTTTTGGTTTGTTTTCTCTTGTTCTGCCGTGTAACTGCCAAATCATACAAACCTTGGTCTTTACTCAGGCAAAATTTCGACTGACTTTTGCCTAAGGCTGTTTTGCCTCTGCAAGGACTATAGGATTTGGGCTGAACAAAACAGAAGAGCTAACAGTATGTAAATCAGTGAGTGAGACCTCTAATCGAATCAGGATTAAAGGAATAGGAGGAAAAATGTTCTCTATTAGCCTGAGCAGTTTGCTTATGGATTTCCTGGGGAAAGCGATTCGCACAAATATCTCAAAGAAGTAAGACTCAGATAAACAGATGTTATAATCCAGATCTGGATTCACCTCCTGGCCAAAAATGAAAGGAGTTTTGTTCCACTCTTCAGCAAATTGGGAAAAAAACAAACAAACAAACAAACAAAACAACCACATAGGAAAGGGACAAGAAATAGAAATTATTATCACCTGGCAATAAAAATGGTTGAGCCTTGAAAAAGGCAATTTAGAAAAAAGAATCGCCCCCCCTTTCACCTTCCAGAATAAATAATTGATCGGTATATCTACCAGCTGTATTACAAGTTGCATCAGAGCTCACTAACAGTGAAGCAGAGAGCAGCAGCAGCACCAGCGAGAGCAGAAAAGGACAGGAACCTCAGAGGAGTGCTGAGCACAGACCATCCTACTGGAGCGAACGATGGGCACGGGAAGGCTTTGGTTTCCTAACTCACACCAAGATTACCAAATACACAGCACAATACTCGTTCTGAAAACCGCAGATCACTTTTTTTCCCTTAATCTAAGTTTAAAAGGAGTTTGAAGACATTTCTACATAATTAATTCACCAATGTATATCATGAAAAGACACCTTCTTGCCTTAGTGAAAATGTAACCACAACCCTGCGCTGAACAGGGACTGCTGGGAAGGGAGCGGATGCCTGCGAACAACATGTCACGATGCAAAAGGTAATTATTTGGTGCTGCAGTTCCCTTTAATGATCTAACATTGAGCAATATTGTTTATATTGAAGAGAGCTTGCACCTTTAATTACCAATTACATATACATCATTTTAGAGCCAAAAGAAAAGGACTGTGAAAAGAGTCCTTTAGAAATGTGTGTGCTATTTCTAGGAAGAATTCCTATTAAGGGGGAGCAGTGTGTCAAAATATTAAAAAAAAACAACCATAGAGAGAGGCACACACAGACATGCGGATACACACACAGGAGATGGGACAAAGAGCTGGAAAAGACAACACGAAAACAGGAACTGAACCAAGGGTCACAAGGAAAAAAGGTGGCAAAGGGGGAAAATGCTTGTTACTAGCTTCACCTAAAATTCCTGTAAAGCCTTCAGGTTAAAATCTGTCTCTTAAATTACAAAGGTTGAATTTTGGCATTTATATGTATGTAACAAATAAAAAGAAAATCACAGATCTCAACTTTATTATCTTTTTGATGCGAGGATTTTATTTTTTTTTTTTACTGCAATTTAAATTGTGCTCTCCAGAAAATATACCAAAACTGCTGCATTTGATAAGGGTCCTGACCAAGCGTCTGTGGAAACACGAAGGAGGTTTGAACAGCTAAACTGTTGCGAATTCTTTCTCTTCAGCTCTACACTTCATTTGAATATTAGTTAAATCCACATATGCCTATTCACTTACACTCACTCACTCTCTCTTTCCAAAGACTCTGCAATGGCACTTTTTAAAAATAACATCTGGTATTCCTTCATATTTTGGCAGTCGTCACATTACCGAAAATCAGCTTTTCGTTTTCTTGGTACGCCAAGCCCTCGTGATCAGTAGTAATTGGGTTTAAAACTATCAAAAGATTTTTTACTTGACTCTATTTCTGATTTGAGCTTAATAAATCATCAAGCATGATACCAGCCATATACCCAACAATGCAGAAGCTGTATTACATCCCCTTATTCGGGACATGGAAAACAGACATAAAAGACTGAAAAACAAAATACTGAATAGATCTTCAAACGCATTTTATCCATGTCAATTTGCCTTTTTTTAAAAAAAAAACTCAGAATAAAAAAAAGAAAAGGCTTCCTATTGACAACTCAATTAAGCCATTAAAAACCTACATTCAAGTAACATTACAGGAGAGATTTAAAACCCACAAAGGAAAAGAGAAAAAAGCCTGCAAGTCCAGCCCATAACGCATTGGGTCATGCCTGGTTAACACAACAGCCAAGATCTTAGGCTGTTTAAGGAGTCCTTTAATACCAATGGGGCAATTTAGGCCAGTCTCAATCTTAAATTCTGACTCCACTTGTGTCTGTGGGTTTCAAATGAGTCGCTTCACATTATTTGAATTTAACTCTGTGGTTTTATTGCTGTTTGTTGGTAGCTGGGTTTAGGAGGAGGAGGGTGTTTCCTCACCAGTATTTATTTAAAATTAATTTCTATTTTTTTTTGAGAAGGAGGAATCAAGCCACACAAAAAAGGAGAATGGAAAACATTTCATCTCCTTTACGTGGGAAAAGGAAAAATAATGCAAACGAGCTATTTCCAGCCAGGACTCATGCCCTGGTTCTTCCAGGTGTGTTAAGGTGTGTCCTGAATTCTCCCTGCACCCAGAGATTCCTCCGAAGAGGACTGCCTTGACATTGCCTGACTAGGGAGCACAGTGAGTCGAGGACAGGCAATGTATGGGGATGTGAGTGACACTTTTTATCCAATGGCTTCATGAAATGAATGCAACCGGACAATATAAATCATGTGCTTTACTTTGAGAAGCATTACACTTGCTGGCTGGACTCTAAGCAGCATCTCCAAGCTCTCTGGATGCCTCCCACACCAAAATACAGTGGACAAACTCCTTAATTCCATAAAGGCACTGTCAGAAAACCACCAGCGCTTCTCCCTCAGCGTGGTGACATCATTAGAGCATATGTGCCCCATGCAAACAATACCCTCATGCCCAGTATTAAAGCGAATGCACATGCTAACTACTTTCTGCTTGTCAGATGTCTCAAAATCATACCCATTAATAGTGAAAAAGACTTACTAAAAATCATTTCCAAGGCCTCAAAGGACAGAACGGTGGATGCTTGTTCACAGGGATTGGGGTGAGGCTGAGTCCAGGCAGCAGTAATTTATTTTCTTGCCTTTTCATTGCACAGCAGAATCAAAGGTGAGAAGGGATCTAAAAGTTGCCAACCTATTCTTTTCCCTATTTTTCCTGTCCCGCAGTATCAAAAGGAGGCAGAGAAAGGGGGAAGAGGAAACAGTTTGATGCCAGGCCAAAGCACTGCATGTGAAAGCTCCCCTCCACAATTGGTTTCTGCACAAATTGATAATGTGGTGGTTAAGGACGAGCCCTGGCAGCGCCTTCACTGCAGAGGTGCTGCTGGGTGCCCTGTCTGCCCCAGCACCCCACCACAGCCACTGCCCCCACCCTTGTGCCCACCTGGGGGGCGAAGTACGGGCCACCCCTGGGCCACCTGTCCCTGGGACGAGCCGGGGCTGCCCAGGGGCTGCCACGGGGACACGGCTTCTGGCACCCAGGAACGGGAAGACGCCCACAAGCGTGGCGCAGCGCACCGAGCGTGCCGCTCTCCACACACAGTCGCTGCTGTCGTGAAGGCACATCCAGAAAAGTGCTCAGCCTAGTTGGGGAGTGAGCACAAAGAAGTGACTCGCTCATCAGGGTGTTGGCCCAAAGCAGGCCTGAAAATGCTGTCCCTTCAATCAACACCCACATGTCACATTTACTGTAACATCAACATGCTTAACGGAAATAGCTCATATCACACGCTCTCTGGCTGGGTTATCGCCGAGATCGGTGTCAGGATCCTCGCTGCACAAAGACTCGCGCTGCTCGAAGCGTGCGCCGCAGCTCCTTGCCGTCGAAGTTTATCAATAACCTGTTTCCAGAGCCCCCCGCAGCTCCCTGCAGCTGCAAGGTGCCGAGCTGAGCTTGTGCCTGCACACCGCAGCCGCGTCGCTCACAGCGGTACCAGGCGCCGCTTATCTGACACCAATTTTTAATTCTTCTGAGGGCTGAAAAACAATGGTCTGTACTTTGGGGGTTGGTCCTTTTTTTTTTGTCCCCTGGATAAAAGTCCGAGGCCGAGCTGGCCCCAGGAGAGGCAGCCTGGCGGGGCCGCCGCCGCTCGGCCTCACCCCCCCAGCGACCCCCCGGCACGTGCGAACGGCACAAAGGCGGCGGGACCCGCGCGAGC